ATATATGTGACTCGATAAAGTAAAATTTTACGTCATAAATATTTTACATTGTAAAATACTTATGATGTAAAATTTTTATGTTAATAATAAAATATGTTAATAATAAAAAATTTATTTTAATTATTTATTAAAATAAAAATCACGTAGAAAAGGAAATATTTTAATGATATTTGCCGGAAAGATCCCAGTACACTTTTTGTATCGCGACGCTCCTGGGGCACAGCATCATATGAGCGATCGGCGGCTCGGTCACCGAGTTTCGAGTGGTAGTGCGGGTCGCCTCAGGAATCTGCCCGAAATGAGCAACTAATTCCGACCACTGGTCTAGTTTATACCCAGAATTCGATCCGAGTCGGAATGTAAGAACCAACCAACTGCAGTCGAGTATTCCTTTGTTACAGTCGAATGTCAAGAGAATGCTCGACTGCAGTTGGATGGTTCTTACATTCCGACTTGGATCGAACCCTGGGTGTAAACGAGGCCTATGTCTTTGGATTCTAATTATACGCAGTAATGAATTAAAATGGCGCTCTGATCACGTGATTTAGACAGCCAATCAGACCGTATCTTTCAATGTCGCATCTCCGTTATTTAACCCGGATCCTCATACGGGCAACAGCGCTTCGACACAGAGCTCTGATTGGTGAAAAGCCGGTTTGTTGGGGTAAAATTTACCCCCATCACCCGTTTTTCACCAATCAGTGTTCTGTGTCAAAGCGCCGTTGTCTGTATGAGGATCCAACCTTAGGCCTCTACGCTTCCGGCTCCACAACAGTTGAGTCTGCTGAACGCCACCATTGCACCATTGTATCCTTGTTGGTCACCGACTGATGAATAAAGATAAAGGATACTCGGGGGTGCGTTCCAAAACGCAACTTTGGTAACTGAAATCTATAGTTAACGTAACGTAAACTATAGCTTTTTAGTAACCAAAGTTACGTTTTGGAACGCACCCCAGAAGGTTTGGAACGCAACTAGAGATGGGCAAAAATTACGAAAAATTCGATCTCAGTGAATCGATTAATCGCAAGCATTCGATCCCAAAAATCGAGAAATTGGATGAACAAGATCGATATTTGTCTAGATCGATCTCTTTTTAAAGAAAATTCTATAGTGCACGTGACGTAAATTATAGAATTTTCAGTGTTTTTTCGAAATTTTCAGTGTTTTTTCCATAAATAGCCAGGGAATGGAAAGTTACTTTTTAAAAGTAACAAGTTACAGTTACTCGTTACCCAGTAGGAAAAGTAACAAGTTACCTTTACTAGTTACCGATTTTTAAAAGTAACTCGTTACAGTTACCGTTACTTGAGAAAATAACTTTTCGTTACTTTTCCGTTACTTTTTTTTAAATCGACGA